AAACCCTAAACCCTAAACCCTAAACCCCTAACAATAAGACCCTATAGATCCCTTTAAAGGAACCCTTATAGATCCCTTTAAAGGAACCCTTATAGATCCCTTTAAAGGAACCCTTATAGATCCTTTAAACTAAGCCCCCAAAAAACCGGTCCCACCTGCGCTCCGAGGCGATGCTCCCGCACGAAGTCAACCCAGCTGCTGGTCCTGCAGACTTGCTGGGCGTAGGGTTTAGGCTTTAGGCTTTGGTTTAGGGTTTAGGGTTTAGGGCTTAGGGCTTAGGGCTTAGGGTTTAGGGTTTAGGGTTTAGGGTTTAGGGTTTAGGGGTTTAGGGTTTAGGGGTTAGGGGTCTAGGGTTTAGGGTTGAGGGTTTAGGTTTGGGTTTTAGGGTTTAGGCTTTAGGCTTTGGTTTAGGGTTGAGGGTTTAGGTTTTGTTTAAGTTTTGTACACTCTGCGCCCCAGGATTGCAAAACGAAGTAAGTCTTAAAACGAGGTGCAGGGGATAAGAAGTAGGTCATAGAAGCAGGTTCACAACTAGCCAAAGCGGGGTTGTGCAGCTTAGAACACTTCTTGTGGCCTGCACCACCCAAAACGCAAACCCCAAATGCAAAACCATCCAAACCACGCCACGGAAAAGGTTCCCTTCAGGGCTCATTCAGCCCAATTTGGCAGCCAGCTGCAAAGTCGGCAAAGAAAAAACGCCGGGTAAGTTGCCAGGAGCACTTCCCACAAAGCGAATTGTGAAGAAACCAGAAATCCCCGGCGAAAACCTCGACCGAACTCGGAAGCCCACCATATCACCACCCACCCTTCCGCTTGTCTGTACAGCTGCGAGATTGGATGTTGGGGCAGCCCCTCCCCCCGCTCCCCCCCACCAGCAAGGCAGTCTTCTCCAGGGTGACGAGAACCCAAATCCAAACCCCAAGTCCTTAAAACCTAAACGCTCTGAAACTACGAGGTCCTGAAACCCTCGTGGACAGCTAAGACTCCAAACCTCCTACATACCGAGATGAAGCCTTGAATGAAAATATCAGGGTACTATATGAGGGGTGGCTGAATTTTACAACACATCGTAGCATCCACAACATCGTCATAAAACCTAACACCTCCCTGCAGAATACCTTCAATACAGAATCCCTTGATTGAGGCCCGAAACCTTGAAACCTAAAACCCTAAACCCTAAACCTGTAAAGCACTGGACCCTGAACCTTAAATCACTATATAACCCTTATTGACTTTGAGATGTAATCTTAGACCATAGGAAAGACTGGCTCTTCCAGTCCAGGTGTTCGACTGGGGAGTGCCACCGATGGTGTTGTCCACCTCGCAGGAGCTAATAATACAAGGGCCTTAATGATTAGAATAAGCTTTCGGATTTAGGGGTTTTAGGGGCCTTAGCGGTTAAAATAGGGCTCTTTGGTACACGCAATGCTATTTTTATAACCCCTAAGACACTAGGAATAGAATCGGCAATCATTTGAGCCTCGATGTTGTTAGCTTAATGAAGGTTGAGAGCCTTACGATTGCAAGGTTTTCGCGGTTTAGCGTTTAGGCGTTGGGGGGGGGGGCGGGCTTAGGGTATCTATTTCGGGAGAGGGCCCTTCCAAAGTGTCTCAAGAAACGCTCATCAGCTTGCGATGCTTGAAGACTCGTCGGGGGGTCACATGCGAGCTTCAGAAACAGGGGCATGTATTGGGATCCTTCGTGCAAGAGCCCCGCAAAATCGCTAAAATACTAAACCGCCAAGTCCTGCAGAGCGCTTATAGTGAGCCTTTCGGCATCCCTTATGGCAACCTCTTTAGTCCTCATTCTCAGACGCGTCCATATTCCCGGATTACAGCGCTTTCAGTGCTTCCACACAACACTGTCAAAATGCTACATGGCACTTCCTCCGGGTAAACCGTAAATCGCAAAGCCTAGTAAGCCCAAAGCCCTAACAAGCCCTAACCAACCCCAAAACCTACGTAATAAGCAATAAACCCTAAACTCAAACCTCAAAGTACCTGGGGCTCTTAAGCTTGATGGCTGCTGTCTTTGGACAACCCTAAACCCTAAACCCTAAACCCTAAACCATAAACTTGCAATTGAAGCTCTAGGTGTGCACCAGCAAGGCTTTGCACCGTTCGAAAGGCTTTGAACCCCAAAGCCGTTCCAGGCGCCCTGAGCACTGAATCTTCGTCATGGGTCTGAATGACCACCAATAGATGCTACGAATATTATCCTCTTGTAGCTCTACATAAGTTAGTATGAACTCTAAACTAGATAAACTGCACCAGTGATAGAAAAAATGTGTCTGAACCCTAAACCCTAAACCCTAAACCCTAAACTGCACCCAGTGATAGAAAAAATGTATCTGAACACAGGCTCCGAGGACCAAGGCCCAAGTGCCGAAAGGTGGGCCTCTGAAAAGATTGCTCCACGATATGTTTTCCTTTAACTTAGGGGCTGAGTACCCTAGCCGAAAAAAAGGTTAACCTTGTGAATTATAGTAGGATTATAGCAGCCCCAAAAGGTTAAAGGTTACCTACTCAGCCACTAAGTTAACAAAGCGATGGGACAGCAAACAACTTTATTAACAGCTTTTACATACTACAGGGGCCTTAATAATTGGAATAGGGTTTTGGGGTCCTTTATAGTATAATTACAATAAGGAGCCCCCGACATAATCTAGGTAGGTATTGAAGCCTTGTAGAACCACACTACAACAACCCGTCATGCCGTATTTATAGGACCTGCACAAATTGAAGCCCTTCGCTAATCTAAGCTTGACCGCCGTCAAGAAGTTAAAGTTCATCCCTATAACCTCAACTTTAAACATCCTTAAACCATGAAGCCCCGAAAACAGGAGCTCTTCGCCTCAAGCCTAAATCCTCGTAGTGGAGGACAAACCTTGAGCTTATTTCCGCAGAGTACCCTTAATTTTGTCAAGACTCCTATACATACCCGCATATCCACCACAACCCGTGCAGACCCTAAACCGAACCCCTTAAACCCGCCTCGAAGCCAAATTTGCCCTCCTTGGCGGTTTGGTCTGCGGGCTCGGCCAGGTGCATCCTCAACGCTATACAGATTAGTAGATTAGGCCTTGAGATTTGTTGTTTAGGGTTGAGGGATACTTTACATAAGGGTACTATACAGCTCAAGTCCTTTAGGTTTAGGGTTTTAGGCTCAGTTTGGGGTTTGGGTTTACTTAGGTTGAGGCTCTGCATGCGGGTTCGTGCAGCTCGGCAGGACAGCAGACAGTAGCCATCATGAGGGAGGAGCCGGCGTGGGTGGGAAAGAAACGGACTAGCAGCGACTAGCAGCTAGTAATGCGAAATGGAAGGCTAGCAATACAATAGTAGAAGGAGCAGGAGGAGAGACTTGTGAATGCATTGCCTGGGCAATCCTGGCAGAAGCTACAGGCACAATTGTTGTCAGCATACCACTACCAAATACCAACAGCAGTACACCACTACCAAATACCAACAGCAGTACTGGCACTAGCAGAATCACCACCACCGCCTTTGCAGCCATCATCATCGGCGCGGACAGCATCAGCATCATCAGAAGCATCAAAGATGTTGTCCAACCCAACGACAGCCACGGACAAACATTTGTGGTACTGCTGCTGGTCGTTGTATCGTCGCATGCTGCGACTGTGGTCACATCATACCCACGATGGCAGCGACTCCATGGTGGAGGTGGTGCAGGATGATGATGATGATGATGATGGCAGTGATCATCATGATGATGACGATGATGATGGTGATGATGCGAATGAGGACTTCTTGCAATGGTCATGCACAAGAGTTCAATAAGGAGACATGCTGCCAGGACATCGACGCTTAAACACCATTTTCAGAAGCATCACAGTCACAGGTGCTACATATACATGGGTGCAGGAAAGGCACTTTGCTAAAGCCTTGCCGAACTCCTTCATGTTGGGTCGGCCACCCATGGACAGCTTCTGCATGATGATGTAGGAGCCTCCTTCACGCAAAACAGGTATGCCGCATGAACCAACAGGCAAAATCCTAAACTCTGCAACCCCTTTGTACTTGGAGGCTCATGGGTAGTTATAAGGTGGGGTTATAAGTCCCCCAATATGGGTTATAACTATAGTTACCCTTCTTATAACCCTACTTATAACTACCCATGAACCTCCAAGTAGCTCTAGGGCCGAAATCCCAGACCCGAAACCCTAAGAAACCCTTCAACCCCATAAAGCCTGAATCCTAAACTCTAAACCCTGAACCCTGAACCCTAAACCTGAATCCTACATCCGCAAACTTTAAAATCCTACACCCGAAACGGTTTAGTGTTTAGGGTTTAGGGTTTAGGCTTTAAAAGCAAGTACAAACATCTTGCTGGCAGGCCTCCGAGCCCCAAAAGGGTTTCATAGGCTTACATAAGGGTTCTATAAGGACTTTTGGGTTTGGGGTTTGAGGGTTTACCGGTTCAGGGTTTAGGGTTTAGGGTTAAATTCAGAGTTTGTCTTTGACATGTTTCACTCATGAGGGAAATGGATGGGGGTTGGGGACAGCCAGGGGTAGCTCGCTGAAGGATCCTTGCAGTGAGGATCACAATCAGGATGCCAGGATGCTACCAACTTGTCCCATGTTGCCGGAGCATGATACCATCCTCGGGATCTATTGCAATTCAAGATACTACAACGCGGAATCTGTAGCACTTTAAGAGACCATATTTCAGCTTGGTCGGCATGCCCAAACCAAACAGGAGCCCAGGGTCCCTAAACCCTAAACCCTAGACCCTAAACCCTAAACCTAAGAAAACCGGAGCCCAGGGCTTCAAAGACCAGGAAACCTGAGGCCTATGCTGGTGGAAGGCGATCGGAGTATCACAGTATTGCTGATGCATGCAACCTCGGGGCCGTTAATGATTACCGCAGGGCTTTCGGCTATGTTCTGGTACGATTGATTGCAAGTGATACTGGTTTTCTGAAAAGGTTCTTGCGCAACGTTTGTATCAACACTCTCTACCCGGCCTTTGCCATCGTCCCCGTAGTGGATGACTTTGGGAACGCAGACACCGCCTGGTCATTGGCTGGAATCTGCTACCACTTGTAGCAGGCCGTGGATACAAACCCTCAGCCCTAAATCCCGCAGCCGCAGCGCTTGCTTTAATTGCCTGCTATGGTTTCCGTACACGACTCTTCTTGTCATTCGTCTTACCCTTTGTAGGAATTCTTACAAGCGGTACCTTCACCGCTCCGTCTGTTCTTTGTTGGGGGAATGTTGGTGTTGACAGCGTCCCACTGCTCGAGCGTGGTTGGGTTTAAACTTGCGTATATTCAGACCCCAGTCCAAGTACCTCAAGTACGTATGTGTAGTTCTCAAACTTCGGGTCCCGTTTTAGGTCTCCAATACAGTACGGCACCCATATAGAAAGGACC